TTGGTACTGACACATAGTTGTAGGTTTTTCAAAGAATCAAACATTTTTGAATATCTATCCCAAATCTATTTCTATTTGTATTTTTCCAAGATACAGAAAGTCTCAGTTTTCATTATTACTTGTACACATTTGCTTTGTTCAACGATACTAGGCGTTGCATGCGCTTTATGAATGTTTTCTTTGTGAGTGAGAGATTAACACATTATTTTAGGTATATCATAGGTCCCAAGAATTATGCTTAAATCAACATGCATTGCAAGATAATTCAGAGAATTGTGATCAAATCATTCAAGATTTTTCTATTGTCATGTTGACTAGTTCAACTTCAATAACCCACATCTTGAATTATCTTGCACAAAACTAATAGAATTAAAACATTTCAAATTTTGTGATGGAGTGAATCTTCGTAATATCTCTTGCACGAATATAAATGTCCCATCGAATATTAATCTGCTATAACTTTTGTACTAACTGGCATGTATTGATTTTTTTAACCAGGAGTGCGAGTTCAAGCAAAGTGAAGCAAGTGACAATTGGTGTCGCTCCTACGTTGCGGACAGCTTCTAGGTAACATATAACACATAACATTTTCTAGACCTAGACTAGAACTGTGTAAAGCATAAACTTTATCCTACCATCACTGACGTATTTGGTTTGATCGATATTTTAGTAGTAAGGCTGTGGGGGTTCTAGTTCAATTTGAGTGTTTCAGTGAAGTTGAAATTGATGTTTTAAAGAATCGATGATTTCAAATGTAAAAAAAAACGTTGATTTCTGTACTACTTTTACATGAGTTTACCGATAATTCGTTTTGAAAGTAAAAACTCCAATAAATAAGTTCATGAATATAATTCTACCCATCTGTTGTTTGAAAAAAAGAACATTTATCCAGAGTTTCCACAAATACTGAGGCAGTTCACTATTCAAAAATCAAAATGGCAGCAATAAAAAAAGTTTGCGATTTATTTTTGAAATCATATAAATTATGAACATTTCCGGTAGAAGTGTTTCCAATGATTTTATTGTGCAGCAATATTTTTTCTGAAAGTAACATAGCAACTAATTACAATAGTTAGGTTAGGTTAGGTCCAAAATGAGTGGGTCTATTCGACCCTCCACCGCATCCCGCAAGGGTTTATTGTGGCTCATATATATTCACACTCGACCAAATAAACCCAGCTTCTTAACGAAGCCGATTAGTTTGTAAAGAGTACATCTCTACCGAACTCTAAAAACCTGATTCGGTCCCCAGCGGGGCAGGCACAAAGTATACAGGGTGTAACTGAATAAGTGTAAAACATTTAAGGAGGTGATTCCTCATCGAAAAAAAGATAGTATCTTTCATATAAAGAAACTTCATTGGAGCATCCCTTGTTAAGATACAGCCCCTTAAAGGGGGTACATAAAATTTGTATAACAATTTTTTTCACAAGCACTGAGAAAGTTACAATATTGAAATCAACCTGACGTTTTGTACTACCAAAAAGACACTTAGTCAGTAATTTATTTGGTTTACCCCATGGTTGTAAGGGATGGAAAACGCAACCCCTAAAATTCATTTCGTATATAACTTTTTGTCTTGTTATTTGTTTAACATTTGAAAATGTATTTCCCATAGCCTGTTTCATTCCAAACAAAAAGTGTCTCCTGGGTTTTTTGCCCAAAATATACCAGTTCGCAGCAAAAAATTATTTTACGAACAACTTTAGAGATACATCGTCATAAATGCGAACTGGATTTATTGTTATTTTGTAGTTAGTACCTGCAATAAACGATTGAAGGGTAATAAACAAAACTAATTTATTAATAACAAAACACACAACATGTAGAAATCATATTTAATGTTCAATATGTCTACCTTCAGACATTACGCATGTTCAGCTTTAATATTTTAATTTTTATTTTTTTGCTTGTTGCTTGCATGTTATTTCTTTATAATTTCAGTTTTTTGTTTAATAAAATTGTTATTTCGGTTAATCTCCTTAATTTTTTTCGGGCTCGGGGAGTTAGTAACATCGCCTACCCAGGACACGAGGCTAATAACCAATGTAGTCGATGCCTATGACACCAAGAAAAAAAAACCCAAGCAGGCATTTTATGTTATGCCGTAACTACTGTGTGAATTATTCAGTTTATTCTGAAACACTCTATATTAAAAAATAAAGGCATTCAAATTATTTCTTCAGTCAGTGATGGTTTGATAGCTAGCTTCACAACTAATAATGTTTCGTGTTTTTAAATACTCGAACATATTTTTTCTTTGTCAATTAGAACGAGAACCCCCTCCGGATCAAATACACCCGTGCATCCGGATCAACAGACGGCAGTTTCAAAGCTGTTGCGAAGACCTTCTGGTGCTTCCGACACCCCCACAGGCCAAGCCCGGAAAAAACGGACCTCCCTGTCTGAAAGGGAGCCTTTTAGGTTATAATAGATAGGTATCTAACTTATTCCAAAACTTACATTGACTGACATATGTACGTTATAGCTTGTTTATGGAAAAATGTTCATATTTTTGTATAAAAGTTATTTATTGCCCGGGGGTGTCTTTCGTCTTGTGAAAATCGCCAGTTTCGCCAGACGGAGTATCTTCGGTCGCTGCAGTTTGTCTATAATTCGAAATGTTAACCGCACCACTTTTAGGAGATAAGCGAAAATCAAGAAATTGTATGTATAATTTTTTCGTGATTCCACTCCCTTTTATTGTATGTATTCTATTCATTTTTGTAAATTAGTTGCCATATATACAACAAAATGAATATTTTTATTTATTGTGATTGTGTTGATTTTATATTCATTTTTGTTTCGATTTTTTACAGAAAAACTTGTCTGTATATTGGCTAAAGGGACCATTTTTTCATTTTCATTATTTAGATTTTACTAATTTTGTCTAACATGCTTTATTCAATATATATATAGTGTTATGATATTACTGTTTTTTATACATTTTTGGCTAGACCCTTGCTACAATTAGCAATATAAACAAGTGTGATTATTATTACTATTACCAGTTGTTGATGTTTGCCTCTTATAATCGCCAGTATAATAGGTAGACGAAAAATAACTTATTTATGTATTGCTTTTGTATTATTTAACTCTATGATCATTGTTATTGAATAAAAACTAAATTTATTAATCTAAAGTGTTTTCATTTGAAATGCCCTTTTGTAACTTTGTACAGATGGGCTGACAAAAGAATAATGTCCGACCGAATGTTCGGTTTCAGTTTTGGTCGAGTTTCGGCAAAAAAAACCGGTTTCGGTTTCGGCGCCAAACCTGCCTAAACTATGACCAAAACCGAAACTGCATTCCGGAGTTCCCGTGCTGTGATCGGTAATGTTCGGCGCGTTGAATTTCATACAAGCGGCGAAAACATGTTGCTGCGTCCACGTTCATGACTCGAAACTTACTTTGTGATTTACTTTGTTTTTTACATATATATCAAGTACCTATTGTGATATTAGGTAACAACCTAAATAATTAATTTAATGTTTAATATTTTTGAAAAACTATCAATAATATTCAAAAGAAGGATCTACACCTACTCAAATAAACACCTCACATATTTTAAGTATTTTTAAGATGCAATTAATATTTTTTCTTAAATAAGGTTTTGTTATGTTGATCATCAATAAGTAAAAATGTTGAAGACTGCATAACGTTGTGATTTAAAGATAAAAAAATAAAAACTTATTATAAAATTTATTATAATTCAGCTCTATGATCTGAAATATGATTTTGCAATAATACAATACAATAACAGGACAGTTGGAACAAAAATACAAATCTAGACTAAGTATATACAATCTAACTCAAAGGTACTATTGGTAGGCAGATATTAATCAATCCACAACACACAGTCACTATTTTATCCAAGATCGTATCATCTTCACCACATACAAGCAGAGAAATTGGCACATAATCTGATAGAATCCTATATTTTTGACGAATTCAACCCATTAATCTTTCTACATGAATCCTGATATGTGCAATGGCTCTAGTTGCTTCCAATTTCTAATTCAATTGGATGCAACTGCTTCTTTCCATTGGTAAAAGCAGAAATTCACTAGGTATTTTGTNAAGATTGGCCCCACCACCAACGCCGACATATAAACTTGACAAGTTAACTTGGGTGTCACACCAATAGGTGGTTCCACTTATGTCTCGCTTGCATTTACGCCGTTATTTTTATTAAGTAGTTTTCTTGGTTATTTCAATCGAGCAGTCATCAGTCCAAAGGGTGAGGGAGCCAGGCTTCAACCTGATTGAAATCAAGACTACGTGCAGGTTCAATCGAGGACCGCCTTCCCGGTATTGACGATGCCCAATAGGCTGAAACAGCTGTCTAGCGGTCGCTCTTGAATTGAAATCAAATTGAGAATGATCAGATGAAGATGAGGACTCTTCTATTATTCATCTTTAATTTTTATGGAATTATTTTCCAGCAGCTTGACTGCATTAATCTTCCTTTCATATAATGGACAAGTAGAAAACCATAAAACTTCTTCACATAAATATGATCTCCCTTTGAAATCCCCATTTCAATTTTGACTCATTCAACGTATTTTTATTTTGACACTCGATATGAATATTTTTAAATTTCCAAAATTTTGTGTATACCAGACACACTTATAATCACCTGAAATTTTCTTCATGTTTGTATGAATCTGGTAAAAAGTTTCAAATGAAATGAAATTCTATAAATTAGTTTACCTAATCTTCTAAATTGATTTTAGTCGACTCCTGATTTCTATGATTCAAGTGGGTTTGGAAAAAAAAAAGTTAACACATGTAAATCTTTTATTCTTTTTAAGTAAAAGAAGAAAATGAGTCACATATATCACTGAAGTTCCAATTACAAACTAAAATCACTTATAAAAGTACAAAATCCAATAAATAACTTAACTAAATAAATTAAAGAGATTTGAAATGCTCAAGTGTCCAATTTGTTTTTAATCAGCCACTGAACATTTCTAAAATAGAAAGAAATATCCAATATTTTACAAGAATCAGTCATAATTCTGATAATTGAATAAGGTACAAAGTCAGGTGTCAATAAAACAGATTTGGTATATTTATCTGAAGATCTGAAAAAAAATATTGCATTATATAAGTCCTAAATATTTTTGGCTCTGATTCACAGAAATGAACTGAAGTCAGGACGAATATTATAAATCCTGTTTAAGATCTGAAAAAAAATATTGCATTATATAAGTCCCAAATATTTTTGGTTCTGATTCACAGAAATGAACTGAAGTCAGGACGAATATTATAAATCCTGTTTTTATGAAACTGTGGGGGCAGGTTTTCATTCATCCGCCACATTAGAGTCATCATGGGTGAAATGTTAGCAAGCCATCTGGAACTCACTGTTCCTTGTCTTTAATGTTTGGAAAGAAAGCCTCGATAGGCAATATAGGATCATCGGTCGAAATGGTGAAGTAGTTGGGAACCCTCCTACTATTAGGCGAGACAGACTTGAATAACCCTGGAGTATCGTACTCGCTCTTGAAAGAGGATGTAAGGTCCGACACCCTTTGAGAATAGTCATCATCGTTAATGACAGCCTCTACTGTTGGCGGCACCACTTCTCCCGTAGCTTCCACGATGTTCATGGTATCTGAGTGAAATTCTGTGACAGTTTCTGCTGGCAAGCTTTCCTCTTCAGGTTTTGTTGTCGGTGTAGTAACTGCTTCAGTCGGTTCCTCACTAGTCATAATGGTTTCTTCGGTATCGGCTGGTTTGCTGAAGAGCTTCGTTTTCATCGAGACCAGGCCCTTTCTTCTGGTTGAAAACAGGTTAGACTTTATTCTAGTAGAGTTGGTGTATCGCCCGAATGGTCTCAGTCTTGTTTTCATCGATTTGATACTAGATTCAGTGATAGCATCTACACTTTCTGTAGTGGTAGTACTATGTCTCGGGTCTTTGGGTTTGAATTTTCTTCTTTGCATTTGGTCAGTATTTGTTTCCTCTTCGTAATTAAGGGGCGGGGGAGAAGTGTTGAGAGGAGGTCTCGTTTTGAATCTGTTCGGGAATCTGAAATCAAAAGACAGTATTGACAATTAGTTGTCAGATGTATGAGCAAAGTGAAATTGCTTTCAACTGTGTGGAAATTCATGTTTATCTCTTTCCCAATCAGAAAATTGAAATGCAAATATAAAAGTTATATCTATAATAGTCATTAAGCGCTTTTTTGCTTATTGGACAAATCAATGATGTATAAAGTAACAGATCAATTTGATTTTTCAATGGAATGTATCAAAAATTACCACAGCAGCAGCCGGTACTGGTCAATAGAAGTTGGATTCTGATCCATCAAATCAAATCAAAATATTCTTTATTTTCCGAAGATGTGCATCTTATTGACGTAGTCTAAGAAATACAATGTAAATATAGAAAAAGTACTAAAAAAAGTATACCTAAATGTAGATATAAAAAAGTTCCAAAAATGTTTAAATGCAAATATAAAAAAAAGTTCTGAAAATGTATAGATAAAACACCACCACGTATATAGTGATAGTACAAAGTTGCTGATTTATTGTTTAAAGGATTCGCTGAAATACTCTTCTAAACTATAATAGCGTCTATCAACAAGTAGGTTCTTCACTGCCTTTTTGAAATGAATGTTGCTTAGATTTGCAGATCTTATTTCTAATGGGAAATGATTGAACAACTTACCACCATTATAGTATATGGAATACTTGATCAAATTCGAAGTTGAGATGGGAAGTCTAAATGTATACTTGCTATTACGAATAGCATAAGGAGTAGAAGCAAAGTTGAACTTCGATTTATGTTTATAAATAAGGCAAACCATCTCTGAGATAAAAAATGCGATGACTGTTAAAACTTTATTGGCAGTGAACAAGTTCCTGCACGATTCTCTGTGTTTGACTTTAGGTACACATACATCTTAGCGCCCTCTTTTATAATATTAATACAGGAGAGAGAAGGGATGAGTTGTATGCTCTCCAAAAAGGTATTCCATGGCGTAGTCGAGATTCAATAAGTGCATGGTAAACGGTCTTTGCGATATAAAAACCAAACTCATTTGAAACCACTCTAACTGCATAACATCCGGAGGAGCGTCTATTGAAATTTCATCAAGCGTTTTGTATGCATTAAAAGAAAGTAAATTTGCATAGTACCAGCTCTTCACCTTTAAGTCGGATGATAATATTTTATTTAGTTCCACTGAGTTTTTTTTTCTTTTCACAATATTGTAGTATCATCCGCGAATAGAGTGAAACTACCAGATATGTCAATCATAAAGATGTCATTCATATATAACAGAAATAGAATAGGGCCTAACACAGAACCCTGTGGTACACCAGATTCAATGGCACTGTTCTCCGAGAGTTCCGTTGTCCTCACCATTTGACTCCGACCTGAAAGGTACGATTCAAACCAAGTGTTCGTTACACCTCTGCATCCATATTTATGAAGTTTTTTTAGTAAAACTTTATGATTGACGCAATCAAACACTTTGAAATATCGCAAAAAATTGCGGCGGCTACTTCACCAGCATTCCATTCAGAGTAAATTTCATATAAAAAAGAGAAGATAGCATCATTTGTATCTTTTTTCGCCTGAAACCCAAACTGGTTTTTTCCTTATAATACATCAGTGCAGTTTTAAGAATTCATCTAAACGTACTTTAACTAATTTCTTAATTTTTTTTTGCTAAAGTCGGTTTTGAGGTAATAGGACGCAGATTGGAGGGATTATTTGAATCACCACCTTTATATAGTGGAATGACAACGGACGTCTTCAGGGAAGAAGGAAATGAGCCAGTTCTGAATGAGGTATTAATAAGGGCGACTAAAGTTTCTAGAGCATTGAGTGGTAAATTCAGAGGAATCTTAACGGAAATATCAACATATCCGGCCGTGTTTTTGTTTTTAATGTCATGAATTTGCAGCTTAACATTTGTTGCAATACAGGTAGATTTAAAGCAGACGGAATGTATAATGGAAAGAAGATACAATAATGTGAAATACACCAAATTATTATTTTACCTCACTCTTGTAACCTCTGAAGTAGTTTTAACAAAATCTGTTGTCGTAGATGGTGTTGTCGAAGTATACTGATTCAATCTTTGGCGATATTCCTTCACACTGAATCGTGGTCTATTTGAGGAATGATACTTGATTGGTCGAGTTCTAGTCTTGACTGACTTTGTAGTCGGGGCTTCGGTGGTAGTTGTGGTTGTCGAAGGGGTAGTTGTTGCCAAAGTTGTCTGTACATATTCATTTTCGTGTTGTTCAGAAGCACCAGAAGAGGAGGCATAGTCTATTTCATTTTCGGGTAAGTTGATCTCCTGAAATATGGAGAGGTGTTAAAGCACAATCCTATTGGAAATGATGACAATGATGAATTATCATTTAAGAAAAATCATACCATAATAGATATTTCAGTAGTTGAACTACCAACTTCCTCAACCCTGTCATACTGATCTTCCTTCTCCGTCACTTCCTCAATCATCACTGCCGCCCTGTTGTTCATATGTTCTCTAGATGATGGAGTAGTTTCATACCTGACTCTGCTTTCTTCTTGGTACTGACTGCTTATTTGTTGCCTCACTGAAGGTTCGTACTCGAATCGATATGGCTTCAAAGTAGTTGCTTCCTCTTCCATGTTGGGCTCGTTGCTCTCCCCAGTTTCTTCAGCGAGTGCAGACATATCTTCAGGTACCAGAGGCTGGTCTTCATCTGCTATCTTATGATTCACTGGCATTTCTGTAGTGGTTCGAATTCTTTTACGATGATGAGAAGATGGGGGTTCATTAGAGTCCTTGGTCCCTACAGGAACTTAGAAAACAAATGAATTAGAGAAGAATGAAGTGTATCCTGCGAAAATCTTAACGTTTATTCAAATGCGGCTCAAAATTTTACCAATAGGAGTACTCATGGACTTATTAGGATTCTGTTTCCGGAACTGATCTATCCAGCTGGAGATACGGAACTGTATACCTTTCTGCAGAATCTCAACAATTTGTGACATTCTACACTAACTATGGAAAAGAAGGCCAACAATGAATTGCCGTTCATACATGTGATACTGAAGAGGACAGACAATAAGGAAGAATCATTCAGACTCTTACTATTCCAGCATTCAGTCTCTGTAATATGAAAAAAAGTTTCGACAAGGAACTGGGAAAGATCTCTCTTCAAAAAGTTGGTAGAAGAGACTTTCTCCAGAAAACAGGGAAAGAAGTCAGCAAAATACTGCCGGAGAGGATGAGAAGAATTGGGCAGGTGCAGGTTCTAATGAACCTGCACTGGATCCGAATTAACACTAATACCAAGCTACTGAACGCAGACGAAGATCACACGAATTGCATTTACCGGACATCAAGTGGTCCGAAGCTCAAATCCAAAGGGAGAAATATTGGTTTGAAAGGAAGTTCAAAGACACTGCATACATATCGAACAACATGTTGTTTACTCTACAAACTGGAAATCTCTAATGGAGCGGGAAAATGACGGCGCACTGATTTGGAAAACCGAGAGGAGAAATATAAGAGCGTTCGTCCAATACATAATTTCGTAGTATCGGAAATAGAGCGGTTATAACTCGAGGGGAAAGTTAGATATCAACAATCGAAATGTCGTACACTAGTTCAGTTTGACATCTTGAGAATCGAGAAGAGAGTTGCAGAATGTGAGAGCAGTGATTGTATTGGATATGAAAGAGAAGTTAAAATTTTGGGAGAGACTCACCCCTCTGCCTGTATCGATGTCTTCCTCTAATCCTCTTCTCCTCCTCTTCGTCATTTGTCCTGGAAGGAGGAGTGGTCCTGTATCTCACAGGCTTCCTTTCCTCTCTATCGTCCATCCCGATAGGTGGCGAAGTGGTTCTATATCGCACAGGTTTCCTTTCTTCCCTCTCCTCATTCTCTTTAGGAGGTGGAGGGGTCCTGTACCTCAGGGGCCTTTCTTCGCTTTCATAACCACCACTACCAGTTGTTCCCGTCCTTATTCTATTCGGTCTTGGTCTTTGTCGTCTGTAGGGCCGTTCTGTTTCTTCCGAATAAGTCGGTTCAAAGTTGTTTTGTTTTCTGAAATTGAAATCGTCTGTCGTGGTAGGTTCTTCAGTTGTCGTGGTAGTAGCAACAGTTGTACTAGGTCTTCTAGGTTGAGGCCTTCTTCTTTTCTTAGGTCTCTGTGTGGTAATTTCGTTTGATATCTCCGCGTTTCCCCCCATTGCTGTCGGAGTATCTGTCTCACTTTCTGATATGAATTCTGGTTTCCCCAAAATGGGATAATGAGTGGAAACTTCTTTCAGATCGAAGAACAAAGGGTTTTTCGTCAAAGCTTCTCCCTTGTACTTGTTTACCTTTGTGCTGACTTGAGAAAACACCGTAGATGCTTCGCTCTGAGTGGCCGACGTTGGTAAAGCACCTGGGGGTCTGTAGGGGGTCGGCAAAAAAGGCGGGAGGCTTAGTTCCACTAGTGGTTCTGGAATGAGGGGTCTAGCTGGTCCGGTAGGTTTCCTCACCTTGTGTGGGACTTCTTGGGTCTGTTGAAATTTGAAACTATACGGGTTGGGATTGTCTATCCATTTTCCTGGAAGGAAAGTTTGAAAACTCATTATCTGAAAGTATATTTTATTCATTCATTCATATGTATGATACAATTCTAGAAATTGATGATGTGAATCAACTATCACTTGATAGTTTACGGTACTTAATACTGTAAATTGTTGTACGTACGTCAACCAGAGACTCTTAATATTCAGGATCTTTCTTACCTTCAGTTACCTCATACGTCTGCAACTTAGGAACCTGAGCAGGTGTGCTGACAGTGTGGAAGTAGTCGACATAATCTTGCTGTTGAGGATGGAACCTAGCCGGAACATTATTGTGAAACACTTTCAACTGTTCCTTAGTCACCTCCACGTTCACGGGTTGTTCGGAGTGCGCGAACTGATTTTGTAACTGCAGGGGCTGTCCAAAGGGAAAAGAGAGCTGGACCAGGTTATCTTGTGGTGATTTACCCCCGAATTGCTGTAGACCCACATCGTGGAACTCCAGTACCGGTTCCGAAACGGTGGCTACGTTGTCTTTGAATTTGGCAGGGAGTTTTGGAGCCTTCAGCTTTTCTTTTTCTATTAGGAACCTAGATGGCGGTGGTGGTACGAGGTTCCTGGTGTAGTCGTCCTATTAATGTGCAAAGTATCAAACGATAAAAACGATTGCTAATAAGAAAAGTGGTTTGCAGTTGATGTTAACACTGAATAAATTATTTGGCTTTTCACACCTTTTATGAATTATCAATGACAACTACTTCCAAAAATATATGGGATCGACAGAAAAGATAAACATCAAAGATGAAAAAGAGTTCCACCGGTGTTTTGTTTCAAAATCAATGAAAAAACTTTTTTTCCTTACCTTTCACTATAAGTGAACAACCAGGTTATTTTATTGTGTCACATTGTGTTTGCATATCTCTTGCTGAATCTTGTTTGAACGACATTTAAATAAATTTAGAAACTTGCAGGCCGCTATGGATAGATATTCAGGAAACTCTTTCAGACTGAATAGTAGAAAGGACAAAATTTATTGAGAGTCATAAACTTCTGTTATTCTAGAATGGAACCATCTCATATATTTCAACACTTTTTCAGAAGATGTGATAATATGGCAATCATAGGTTGATTTGTTGACGTAATTGATTGAACTTGATTTCAACTCAGAAAATTGCGGGAGTTAGCAGCAGAATTCCAATGTACCTATATGTATAATATATAAATGTATTATAATGTGTTAAATCGATCGGACTTAACATGTCCTAGTTGTGTGATTTTGAGTGGACTGGAGGAACATCAAATGAAAGATGATCCATCGACGTAATTATTATCTATTATACAAAATAGATTACTGATCGGATATACAGGGTGTTTATTAAACATGCGGCAACAAATTAAGAGACTATTCCTTGAACTATTCTAAGGATATTTTGTTCTTCGCTAATTTTTGATAGGGCGCTTTGTTTTGAAGATATGTGGCGAACAAGAATTTCGACAATTTTGGTAATTTTAAAATTTTTAACGTAGCAGAAATAAAAGTATGGCGTAATACACTGGACCTAGGGACGTATCACTGGCTATCAGACCATTACATCGAGACCAATATGTATACAGGTCAGGTATGTCAACAGAAACGGCTCTATGTCGGCAACAGGGTAACAGAAAAAGTAGAATATACTTACAAAAACAAGGAAGTACTTCTAGCTGCTTTCTTGGACATTGAAGGCGCATTTGATAGTACGTTGTTAGAATCAATCATCCAGGCGTCGAGGAGAAGAGGGATCGACAAGACAAGCTGTAGGTGGATAGCATGCATGCTTAGGGGAAGATTGGTATATACAACCATTATGGGGGAAAAAGTCGTGGCTCGGGTAGCAAGGGGCTGTCCTCAGGGGGGGTTCTATCCCCTCTGCTATGGAATCTTGTAATGGACGAGCTATTATGTCTCTTGGACCACAATGGGTATAAAGCACTCGGCTATGCAGACGACTTAGTCATCTTAGTCCAGGGTAAATACAAAAATGTAGTGAAGGGATGCATGCAGCATCCCTTCACTACATTATACACTACACTTACATCACTACATCATTCACTACATTATACACTCATATCACTACATTATAACAAGATGAACCGAAGAAGAAGGGCTTAACATAAGCCCATCCAAACCAACCATACTAGCATTCAACAAGAGGACGAAAATGGAGGGTCTCGGACCTCTGAAACTTCGAGGTGAAGAAATAAAAGTGTGGGGGCGGTTAAATATCTGAGAGTAATTCTAGATTCCAAACTGAACTGGAACCAACACTTGGACAGGATAAAAAGGAAAGCGGAGGTAGCACTGATGCTCGCCAGACGCACCTATAGAAAAACATGGGGGCTAAAACCAGACATAGTATATTAGCTATACATGTTGGTGGTTAAACCCATGATAACATACGCATCTATGGTCTAGTGGCCAAAGATGAAGCAGGCGACCGCTATCAACAAACTAGGCAAGGTGCAAAGATTTGCATGTTTGGAAATGATGGAAGCAATGAGAACTACCCCAAGAGCTGCATTGGAGACGCTCCTGAATCTACCTCCTTTACACTTTGTGATAATGGAGGGGGCCAAGATGGGCCAATTCAGACTGGAAAACGCACCGAACTACAAAAGATCGGACCGAACAGAAATTTCGGAGCATGTGGAGGAGCATATATTGAATATGTGCATGGACCACATGTGACACCGAAGTACACCTTTAACACCATTAGTCATTCTGAAAACATGTTTGGAAAAATCACCTAATATACAGATGGATCGAAGACCGAACATGGAATATACCGAGCGGATAGAAATTTAAACTGCAGTTATCCGCTAGGACTATACACATTCGTCTTTCACGCGGAAGTGTATGCTATTTTGCAGTGTGCAAGGCTTATTAAATTGAGACCTCGAAGAAATGAGCGGATCAATATTTTAACAGACACCAAGAGCGCACTAGGGGCTCTGACAAACCCGAAGGTGACATCAAAACTGCTCTGGGAATGCCATGAAGAACTCAATGAACTTGCAAACAGGAACATAGACGCACCTATAGAAAAACATGGGGGCTAAAACCAGACATAGTATATTGGCTATACATGATGGTGGTTAAACCCATGATAACATACGCATCTCTGGTCTGGTGGCCAAAGATGAAGCAGGCGACCGCTATCAACAAATAAGGCAAGGTGCAAAGACTTGCATGTTTGGAAATGATGGAAGCAATGAGAACTACCCCAACAGCTGCATTGGAGACGCTCCTGAATCTACCTCCTTTACACTGGAGGAGGCCAGGATGGGCCAATTCAGACTGGAAAACGCATCGAACTACAAAAGATCGGACCGAACAGAAATTTCGGAGCATGTGGAGGAGCACATATTGAATATGTGCATGGACCACATGTGACACCGAAGTACACCTTTAACACAAATTTCACGGCCAAAATCATAAGCTGTGAGGAGTGGAAGACCATTAGTCATTCTGAAAACATGTTTGGAAAAATCACCTAGTATACAGATGGATCGAAGACCGAACATGGAACGGGAGCTGGAATATAGCGAGTGGATAGAAATTTAAACTGCAGTTATCCGCTAGGGCTATACACATTCGTCTTTCACGCGGAAGTTTATGCTATTTTGCAGTGTGCAAGGCTTATTAAATTGAGACCTCGAAGAAATAATGAGCGGATCAATATTTTAACAGACAGCAAGAGCGCACTAGGGGCTCTGACAAACCCGAAGGTGACATCAAAACTGCTCTGGGAATGCCATGAAGAACTCAATGAACTTGCAAACAGGAACAAATTAACTTTGTACTGGGTGCCACGGCATTCAGAAATCACAGGTAATAATTAAGCTGATGAATGCGCTAGACACGGATCATCAACTTCATATATACGTCCTGAACCAGCTCTGGGGGTACCAAAATCATTGGTACGAAACCAGATTGGGACATGGACCAATAAGAAGCACACAGAGTACTGAACAAAAGTACCTGGCAACAGGCTGACATGCTTTTTATTCATGGACTTCCTGATGGCCATTTATTGGAAGCTAGGCGGAAGATAAAACTAAACAAGTTTGATCTTCCTCTTGAAGATGGTCACTTGGTGATAGAAAGACACGTCGAGGTGTTGAAATGACGGTTTGGTGTCGGGAAAAAACTCCAGTAATATTCATTACTACGCCCAAACAGTGAATCACAAGTTTACAATAGTTGTTATCTTCATAATAGTTGCCATAACAAATATTTGATGAAATATTGTAGAGGAGTACGAGCCTACCTTCAGTTTCTGGAAGAAAACCGGATGACTCTTAATTTGCTCGAATGCGTTATCGTTTGTAGGCGGATGCGGGAACCTGTTGACTTCAATATGCGAATTAGGCTGATTGACGGTGAAATGATTTCCAGCTAGTTTCAAACCTTGCGTCTCCCGCGTCTTCACATTGTTTAGACCTTGCTTGTGGAAAGGAAGATTAACTGGAAAAATTCACAAATTCAATGCAACCATGAATTTCTAACCTAATTATACTGTACCAGTTGTCGGTGGATGTACATAAACTTCATTCCTATTGCTATGTGCCCCCAGAGGCCCTCTCAAAGGTTTCCTATTGGGGGGTGTAGCATACTGGACTGGAGGTTTCACGGGATGTTTCCTGAATCCGAACTGAGATGGCCTCCCTTGAGTGACTGCTCCCACAGGCACTTGTTGCCCGTGTTGAATCGTTGGAAGGGTGTGGTAACCAGGTGAAGTGATTTTGGTGTGCGGGGGTATTTTACCACCTGAAGAATATTCGTTAGGCAATGAATTTATTCATGGAAAAAAAAATATTTACAAACACTTTGGGGCAATACCATTCAGGTCTAGCTCTGTAATTTGTTATCAATAGGGAATTGGGATAGAAACAATAAATAACATCAGATTTGACCAGGGAGAAATTACTTATTGAGTGGACGTAACTCCAAAATCCAGAATCTCAACGAAAAAACAAAAATGTAAACTGCCATGCCGGAATAAAAATATGTCTACCTACCTCAAACGTTCATACTGAAGCAGGGCCTTGAAAAGTTTGAATTGGTCTTAAACAAATATTTGAGGTGATTTCTGTTGCAAAAAATTGATATTCAGAGAGTTGAAGATGAAAATTAAAAATACAAAGGCTGCAACAGCCATCTATGCCGGGGATTTGAACTGGGCATAGATATCGCCCTTCTGCTGGAACCTTGACTCAACACCAATATAGTAGCAAGGCCTCAAAACCTAAACAATCGAAGTAATCTAGGACAAGGTTGTTATAAGGCCATGCGTGTGCATACGCGTGCATACATTATCTGTAGAGTAAGAAGGGTGAGTGTAGGCCACATGTGACCCATTGTACATCCTCCTGAGGAGTTGTCCTCCAAGGTCATCGTCAATCATGTCCTTTCCAGGAAGGTGGCCAGGTCACTGGGAGACATCTCCTTTATATCGGCAGGTGTAGGCTAAAAGTCGCCGGACACACACTCTCTTATTGACAATAACTCAGGACACTCGCGTAGGACATGCCTGACAGTTTCATCTTCTTCTTCACACATCCTTCATAGAGGTGTGTCCGCTATCCCCATATTATGGAGGTGTTTCCTTAATTGATTTTTCCTCGTCATCGCCATCTTCGGCGCCACCTGCAAGCTGGTAGCCGCTTCCTTGGCTAAAGAGGCAATGTGATTACCCTTTATTCCTATCGTGCCCTTTAACCCACCTCAGGATAATGTTATTATCTATCGAGACTTGGTGGCACTCTAGTACTAGCACTGAGGTAACACGTAGTATGTGCAATGCTAATAGGGCTTGTCTGCTATCAGTGTAGATTGTTATGCTTTTGCCAGAAATTCATTTCCTGGTTATTTATTTTGTGGTGATTGAGATACAAGCCAGTTCTGTTTGAACCACGCTGGTATTTTTTTCCATTCCACACTTGATCCTTAGGCTTAGTGATCTGGAGTACACTCCACATCCTCAGCCTTCTTTGGTTTTTGAGCCGTCTGTATATATGCGTATTGCATTTGTAGCATCGGACTCAGTGTTCTGTTTCATTTGTATTTTGTAGGATTCATCTGGTTGCCTGCAGCAGGGGTTGCGCAGTAAGCGCTTCTCGCCATAGGCTCAGCCTCAATTGACCCATTCCTACTTCGAGGTTCACACCAGCCGTGCGCAATCGTAACATGACCTTTAACGCAACCTCCTTAACGTACAGGTCCAGAGGGATCAGACCAGTTAATAATTCCATTGTCTGTCTTGGTTGGTGTTGTTCTCATGACTCCTGTGATGTTTAAAAAGCTAATCGCTGTATTTGATATACTTTTTGGATGACAGTTGCTTGTAGAACTTTCGGTCCCCATGCAATGGCTCCGTACGTTAACCTAGGTCTTATTATTGCAGTGTAGATCCAGGTGACCATACGGGGTGAAAGACCCCATGCGTGTCCCACTGTCCTCCGGCTTTGTTCATAAGCCACATATGCTCTTTTTGCTCTACTCTGTAGGTGAGAGTTCCCTGTTAGTTTTCTGTTGAGGATAGTACCAAGGTATTTTACCTCTTCAGAGAAGTTTAATTTGCTTTAGAAGAATTCGGAAGGTTTTCAGCCCGATAAACTTGAAAAGGACTGTCTCAGTCTTCTTGGGATTGATCAACAGTGAGTTTTCCTTACACCATGTTTGAGCCCATCCTGCACTCTATCGCACAGTGTGTTCACAAATTTGCTGGTCTGCAAGATAACTGTGTCATCTGCATATGCAATTGTGTAGAATTCATTATTGTTGAGGTGATTAAGTAGAGTACCCAGTGCATACATCATAGTAACAGGGTGAATTGTATTGAATATGGGGGAGCTTCGATATCAATGTCGGAAGTAGCGGTATTAGTTATAGTGAATGAAGCTGAAGAACCAACCTTTGTTATTGCTGATCTTAGATCTGACCCTAAGTACGAGCAGGGTAAGCGATAAGACCAAACATTATAGAGAAAAAACCGTTGGATTGAATCAATAGCTCGAAAAGTTGAGAATCGAGATGCGAAGGTTGTTTAATGAAGCCAAAGGAAAACAAGACTAGGACACGTATAAAATAAATCCAAGGCAGTACAACAAAGAAATCCAGTAGGCGACAACGAGACTCATGGTTCTGTGCACAGGTGGAAGAAACATCAATTTGCGCAATAATCCAATAATCCACCGTCTACTTGCCAAGTATAATAGTACTACCAGTCCTCAAAAAAAAAAGACGAAACCAACACTTAGTTGAAGGATGAAAGTCTGAGTCTATTAGTGTCAGCCCGTTTCTCAGTAACATCTGAACTCGACGCTCACCCCAGAAAGGTGTAGAAGTTTCACAGTAGGAGATTGAGATTTAGCCACTGAAACCACGAGAGTTTGTCACGGTTTCAAAATCGCTACCCCAAAGATCTGTGAAATGCTTCAATTTTCAGTAAACCCCCAGTAGATTTCATAATGAAGAAAGAAAACGTCGTTTATTTAGAATATAACAAAAACATTTCATTTCGTTTTATGATGTAGTATGACCCTGTATATGCCAGGAAGTAAAACGAGTCTTTCTATCTTTGCTGAAATCGGCAATTCAATAAAATAAAATCTTTCCATTCACAAAGTTTATTTGTAAGATATCGTTTGTTTCCAAACAGTGCATCTGTTTTTTATATCAGTTTATTCCAATTGACATTTTGGGACTTCAAAAAAAACGTCTCTTCCTTCTTTTTTTTTGGTTTTGGATCAGACACGGGAAGAAAATTGCGAATTTGCGGATTTGAAGGAATGTTTCAAAGTATTCCTGAATCGAAAATTGATTTATCTCAAGGGAGATAATCAATCTACTGTCTTAGGATGTATGTTGTAATTACTTAAAAACTTTCTAATTGAAGTCTACCTTTTTCTCGATCTTTTTTATTGATCGGAAAAATATTTGAGATTCCTTATTCAAATTGAAAATTGAAAAACACAAAAAAAATATCAACACTTTGAAGGAGCAATGAAAATGGAAGTCGGCAGTTAGGTACTACTAAAAAAAAAGTGTTTTCTACCTTGGTTGTGAGTGTATTGAGATCCCGCTTTGATTTTGTTGATAGAGTTGGTTGAACTATCCCTGGGCTTCCCAGTGAACTCATCAGGAGCAACAGTAGACGATACGGCAACGGGATTCTCGGATTTGACGATCTCTACTTCGTATTTCTGACTAGGATTTTTGTACTGGGAAATAGTGGAATCCTGGCTAAATGCAGGTGATGGTTTTCTCGACCCTACAATGGGTCTCCAGCCGTCGGCGGTCATTGAGATGGCCTCCTGGAAAGTTGATAATAATAATGATTCAACAAATTCTCCGATGTATATACAAGAGGCATTGAACAATGGACAACCGAGAGTCCAGAAGAGTATGACAGATATCTAACCTGTACAAAATAGTACAGGAATGAAAACTCGTCAAGAAATGGATAAAACACGTCACAAGCACACTAGCCGAAGTGTTTTTTCGATAGGGAACTTGAAAAAAATAAAGTCAGACACTTCCAGGAAGCTAAAACTGGTTAAAAAATATGTTGTGTTAATTTCGGAATTACCGGTATTATCATCCCCTCACGAAAGCCAACCGACAGAAGTCAATACTAAGGATTGACGAGGTCTTATATTTCAATGTTCCATTCACTGACACGGATATGAAATGAAGATTATAATATTGAACAACAATTGAACTCCTTCTATACTTTACCTTGATTTTCATAAACACACTTCTAACTAACAGAAATCCTCAGGGCTACTCACACAAGTCATATTCCAATGTTTCTGAAGTCAATGCTGTTTCGATGTAGTAAAAGTTACCGAGATGAATAGAAATGAGGTTAATGATGTTTTAAAACTCACCTGCATATGTTGAGCATATGTCTTCGTCCATAATTGAAGAAATATCGCTATCGTCACTGCAAAAAAAAACAAAACGTTGAATTTCACAAGCTTTTATCAAGATGCGATATCGAAATCAGAGGGATATGAAAATAAAAGTGGTAACAGATGACGCAATTTCAATTGGTAATCATCGAAGAAAGCTTTTCTACACATCTGGCTCGATCTTGAACAAAATTACTTCGATAGATTATGAAAGATAGGGTAGACTGGGTACGGTTGAAACAAAGGACTGTTGGAACAGTGCAAATATCTAGTAAAAGGATGATGGGAGAGTGAGGGGTGCAAGAGGAAAATAAAGCGGACTACAGGTCTAAACACGAATTCATTGCCGCGACGCTTCCTGCGTGTTTTCGTTGTGTGCAGGACGCCATATTGTTTCTTATTACTTAAAAGTGAGTATTTTTCTTCTGACATAAACGCTTATATTATCTGTTCTTTTCAAATGAATGTATTGAGTGTGTGTTTGTGATTATTATGACTCCTGTGGAATAAGAGATGATGACTATTTTTAATGTGTTACTATTACTGTCGTAAATATAAAGCATACTTTATCAAAAGCGCGATTGGGGATGGTTGAAACATTTTTTGTGTTTGTGTTGAGTTTTTGTAGATGTCAAACCTTAGAGTGAGGAAGACTACCAGAGGAAGAATCAACTTGTCGAGCTATAGTACTGCATATGAGGGGGTGGAAGCTGTAAAAGCTGGAGATTCACTACGGAAAGCAACGGATAAGCATAATATAAGTCACTATTTCCTGTTGACATACATTCGAAAGCGAGATGCATTTGACAAAGACGATCCCAACACACAAGCCGTCTTTCATGAAATGGAAATTTACCTATATAACTGGAATCTTTTTACTGAGATCAATTTGTAACAGATATACCTAATCCGGAAAATACAACTGAGACAACAGATATACTTAATATAGAAAATACTATTGAGTCTGTCGTTGTTACTTTTGTTAATGAGAATCCAACTGAAGATAGAGCAACACCGTTATCGCCTTCTCTTTTACTTGAACAATTACAGTTGTTTCTCCAGACAACAGTTGAACAACAAGCTCTCTATGACCCACCAGTTGAAATAATTCATCAAGTGAACAATTATGAACTTAAAGGAACAGGTTGATATCTCTATCCTGGGTCTGCGACTGAAAACACCTGCACCGGAACCGGAAGTTGTTTTTGATCCATCTGTGAACCAACAACTATCGGCTCTTAATATTTCCTTCTCCCGAAGAATCCAGTCCTCTCTACTCGGGAACAATACTTTATAAGGCAGTTCGTAGTTGACAGTTGAAAGCATAAAGTCAGAGGTCATTTCCAGACCTTGTTGTAACTTCCAGTGTCAACCATTAGTCTATTGCATTCTGCATTACATCGATTTGTGTAATTGGCAATGTGCACAAGTCTATATACAGTCCATCTAGTCTCTCTCTCTCCAGAAAAATATATCAGTAAGTAAATAGCTACAGTGTCAGTGACTTTGAATGGGGTTATAATACGTTGACATAGACACGATGTTTTTTTATTACTTTTGATTCGAATTTTTTATTTTCATTTTTGTTGTTGTGTTCCAAAAAAATACATAAGTGAAAAATGTGTTTTTAAATGAAAAAAAATGTTTAATTTCAAGTGTTTTTCATTTTATAAACCCTTCTTTTCGGCCATCAGAGGGCCACGCGCAATGTACCTTGCCCACATTAAATTTAGGTCTTGCGCCGCCACTGACTACTCGTATCTCCTAGTTGAAATTGCAACACCGCTAATGCTAGTCAAACTACTGAACACCATTCTACTCAAATATCAGATTTCAATAACTCAAACAGGATGCAAATGATTGCATAATAAGTACCAAACATAAATGCACTATTTCACTGCATATGCCATATTCATGGAAACGTAGCTATGAGAAATAAATTGACCAATTAAGAGAAAGGCGTACCTATTTGATCGAGAGTAGTATTTAGAGATGAATGCACTTGGTGTGCAAATATACTTTTGTGTGTCACTCTAAGTCAACACCTTTCAGCTGTTCATTATTTTCTTATTTTCTATCAGGTTGATTCTAAAGTTTCGTCCGTATTAATATCATGTGTTTTTGTAGCCCCATATCTCATATCTATTCTACTGTGTTGGGTATAAACTGATCGCTAGAGAATTTTGTATTATATGCATATTTTAATGTTTTGCCTCTTTTCAATTCATTACTATACAGTGCTTTTCAGATAAAAGTATCCACCTTTAATAACTTTTTCTATACACTGATGGGTGAAGTCAAACCAATATTTTAGTTCTTCACTTTTCGTGAACTCCTACTCACGAATTGTGAACACCCATTTCTTTGTCACGCCAACGTAGACCACCGTCGAGTTTCTCGTGGACCCTTCGGAGTCCACCTAGACCACTTTGGGAATCACTGGTTTAAAACGTATTGGAAAGGTCAAAAAACTCCAAAAGTGGGTACCACACGATTTGAACGACCGACAGAAATTGTCACGTTTGGAGGTCTATTATTTTTTGCTTTTGCTCAACCGAAACGATCCTTTTTTGGATCGGATCGTCATGTGCGGTGAAAAGTGAATCCTCTACGACAACAGAATACGTTCAGGACAGTGGTTGGACACTGATGAGTCACCTACAGCAATCCAGGACGAGGATTTGAAGACTCAGGCAGAGACTGACCCATCACAAACTGTGCGTGGGATGACCGAAGAATTGGGCGTCGACTACCATTCGGTTTTTGATGGTCCAAAATGTCACCTACATCAAATTAGTCGCCTTCGACGAAATCAGTGGATCTCCTGGGAGTATTCAGAAGTTACGTGCAAGCAGCTGAAACTTTCTTGGTTGCTGAATCATGTGAAGAAGTACTTTTGATTGAAAATATCAATCGTTTTCGCATAATTGACTGTATACAACTGTCAAAAACTGTAAAACAAACATTCCATAGTATCAGCTCTGGCTAAATGCGCCGCGCAGGAAGCATAGAAACTAGAGAGAGAGAGAGAGAGACTTCAAAGAAGCTGAAGTGTTTTCAGAGATATACTGAATCACAATTTGATCTTGAATGATAGATTTATTGGAATTTTTACTATTATAACTTTCTGCAACTGGACCAAACCACCACAACAGAGTCCTATTGTGGGAAAATCGACGAAATGTCCGATTCTCCTCCACAACTCACAAAACGCACTAAACGGGGATGACCCTAGAATCCGAGAGAGGGACAAACACAGGAGCCCAACGAAGCAGAACCAAAGACCACCCCCGAAAGTCGCTGTCAAGAGACTCCGGTATGTATAAAAATATCTCAACCAGTCTCAAATAACCTCTTTTCGGATTCACTGAGAACCAACACTTCGGTTAGTTTTTGGGGACCCCATGCAATAATTCGGTTAGGGAAGTAATGATAAAACAACTCAACAGATCAGAAAGTAAAAGCACCTAAAGGCTGACTTTCGACCAAAGAACGTCAGATGTCAATCTTGCAGATGTGTCCATCAGTAAGTTGAGGACCGCTCCGGAGGAGCGGGGGTGGATGGATGAGACGGGATGTTTTGCACACATTAACCGTGTGGGGAAGATTTCAACTCAGGGCACTCAACCCGGGAGGGGGCATGGGGGGCAGGCATAAACGGACTTTATCAATTGTTAAACTGAAGAAGTTATTCGACTTGTGTTACTTTAGCAAAAATGCACTGATTCAAATGGCTCGTATTTCAATTAAATTCAATAAATATTCACTGACATATTACACTTTGAAGTAGACTTACAAAAATGGACAAAACTTTTGAAACGACCTATTATAGAATGAAACTGAATAAAAGATAAACTACTCACCATAAAGTATTTTCCATCGTACGGGAGGCATATTCCTGGAAAAGAGAACGGAAATTAATGAGTAACAAAAAAAGAAATCGATGCTGAGAAACTTTGTACTCTTGTAAACGGTTGTCAAAGTTGGTTTCCTAAATAATAATAATAATACGTCTTTATTATTTTTCACATACAGTACATCTATATCAAAACAATATTTTTTTAAAAAATTGGAAAATAAAGAGCAAAGTTCTTTTTCTCCAATGAAGCAATCACTTATTTCAGCAGGAATATGTTCTTCCACTCATCTCTATATAGCATATTTTTCCTTAAAGACTGCGTGTTTTCCCGATAGATGGAAAGTATCTAAAATATGTCCAATACTGTAATCAGGGGCTTTAAATAACATTCTGAACTATCGACCCATAACAATTCTGTCCAACTTTGCAAAGGTCTTTGAGATGTGTCTGTATAACATTTTTCCTAAAGTGAGAAATAGTATAAATTTATATTAGCATGGTTTCATCTATAAACGTTCAACAATAACTAATCTCATGTGTTTTACACAAACGGTCAGCACTACGTTAGATAAACAGCTACAGATATACAGACTTCTCAAAGGCTTTTGATAAATTGAACCATCAAATTCTACTGAATAAACTCTTTTTTGTTGGTTTCGATAGTCAACTGTTGAATTTACTACAGTCTTATTTTCAGAATCGTATGCTATTTGTAGAATACAAAGGACACAAATCAACAGAATTCACTTCAACTAGTGGTGCTCCTCAAGGAAGTAATCTAGTTCCTCTTCTATTTTCTTTGTTTATGAATGATATTGTTTCAAATATCTCTAGTAATATATTACTCTTCGCTGGTGACTGAAGATTTTCAGATCCACTGAATCAACCGAGGATTGTCTTATCCTGTAGAAGGAAGTTAATTCGATACATGAATGGTGCATACTAAACAAGCTTCCACTGAATATTCAAAAATGTAAATTTATGAAATACACCCTCAAGCAGAACAATATACAGTTTGACTATGCAATAAATGACGTCATATTAGAACAAAGCACAGAAACTAAAGATCTGATTGGCATCATATTCAATAAGAAACTTAGCTTCACGTCACAAATCAATCAAATCACATCTTCTGCAAAAAAAATGCTTGGCCTTATCTTCAGGACGTGTAGAGACTTTCAAAACCAAGAATGTTTTATAACACTTTTTAATGTATATGTCCGATCTCGTCTGGAATATGGCTCCCTAATCTGGTCACCTATATACAATGTGCATATACAGCAACTCGAATCTTGTCAAAGAATGGCTTACAAACTGGATGGAGCTTACCCATCCCAAGGAATTGATAACAGAGTGTCGCTAAATAGATTTGCCCTCTTATCCTTAAAAAACAGAAGAACATATTATGCCTGTATCTTCATATAAAAATTGATTCATAATCTGGTTCACTGCCCAGAATTGTTATCTCAATTAGATTTTCACGTACCGAGACGAAGTAGTAGAAACGAAATATTTTTCTTTTTGCCTTTGCCTAGGATAATGTTAATAAAATCCCTCTACGAAACCCTTCTTCACTTGGAAGGATCGATCGCAGCTTGAGAAATGGTTCTTATGGTATTTTTATCGTTGTATTTTGTAATATTAGTGTCTGAAATTGTTTTCAATACCGTAGATCATTATTATCTTTTCCTTTATAAAACTTGACTTAAAACTTATAATACTGCGATTTTGCAAGGATTTAGGAACGTAGTTGCGCAACTTATAAATTTGATATGTAAAGGAACGTCTGAATGTTTCTGTTTTGAATGCCGGTGGAAATAACAAACCTCCGAATCTCAAATTCAAGTTGTGCACATCCGTTCTAAATGTTATTTTTGTATAGAGATATATAGGAATTTTTGTTAGGATAATTTGATGATATAATGAATTTGAATTGGTGTATTCTTCTAAGTTCCATATCGAATCTTCCGATTTCAAGCAATTTGTGTGATATTCTTTGGAACTTTTTTATGCCATACATCAATCTTAAACAAGAGTTTTGTACTTTCTGGATTTTTTTTGCTGTAAACAGCAGTCAGATTTGTACCATATAACGAATCCGCGTAATTAAAATTTGACAAAACTAATGTTTCACATAATTTTATTCTAACAATTCTTGGAAAAAATTGCCGGTTCCAATTAATCAATTGTAATGAGCTATATGCACGTTGAATTAACTTATTGATATGTTTTACGAATCTTAGATCTGAGTCTAATATGACTCCTAAATTTTAAGCTTCATTTACTACAGTTAACAAATTATCTTTGATTTTAAAGTTTATTTGCTGCGTTTTAACACGGTGAAATGGGCATTTGTAAATGATATTTACTTAAGCTTTATTTATACCTAAACCATTCCAAAATAGTGCTATTAAAGTTACACAAAAGGAATTCCGAAAAGTATCGGTTAATCTTATTATTATTACAATAATAAATAACTGCTAGAAAACTGCTGAAGTCAGTTAGTACGAAGTATGTAGGATCCCAAATTTGAGTAAGCTACCTTTGTAAATTTTAACACCCTGCACAAATGATCAGAAATTATATAACGCTCTAAACCCGATGATCGGAACCGAAGAAAGATTGATGACCCGATCGGCAATTAGAACGTGAAAAATTCTCGTGTATTGTGATGATTTCTACTGGCACGTCATATTTTCGTTGCCTCAATTTTTATTATTCTTCGTTTCGACAATAACTTTCTAACGAATCGAAGAACGCCGTTGAAGGAGTCGTTAGGAAAGTAAGAAAGCATGTCAATAGATCCTTAGCCAGTCTAAATACGAGAATAATTATTGTGTTTTGTTTGGTTATGTCATGCACATAGTGCGGTGTGCTTTGCCTGGATTTTACGCTTGCTGGATTCTTGTGGAAAAAAAAAGAGAATGATGTGTATGGCTGGACCGAAACTTATTAAAGAAGTGGGATGCAGGTGAAAAATATGAGGATGATAGACACTGAATATTTGAGAATAATTTACAAATATTTCCATATAAATTTTATTTGTAGGGTTTACATGTGTCAGGAAGATGACAAAGCGTTTTAAAGAATTTTCCTGAGTTATTTTTCATTCCATTTTGAGAAAAATTTAATATAAACAAATTTCCTTCCTAGATATTCTTGTGAAACCGTTAAAATTTCAAAAAATATACCGTTCAGTAAAATACGGTTATATTTCATAACAATATTCAAGTTTATAATCGAGTTATCATAAAAAAAAAAACTTAAAACCTTGGCATCATGTAGTTGACAACTTTGTTGAATATTAGCATGTTGTAATGGTAATAATAATAATGATCATTCAGAAATGTTCACAAAGAAAAACTTACTGATGAGGTTTATTTTGATTTTCCCTGTAAAAGGTTTACAAAACCACGACTTGTGACTCGCAATGCTATAGATTTCTCAAACAGAGTTTGAATAACCTACTTTTACATTTTTTATTCTAAAAATATCACGGTCCGATTAGATAAATAATTCGAATCTAATTTCCACTACCTGAAAGGAGCGAAATTAATGCATCAACTAGTAAAAGCAGGTGAAAACAATAAAAATACTTATTCAATAGTGAAAATTATGTAAAAAACAAGTCTCTGGCTCGATTGTTCATAATACAGGGTGTATCTTAAAATGATGTCATTATTGAAGGAAAATATTGTTCTTTTATTAATATCTCACTATTCATCGGTTTTCTCCAAAAAGATGAATGTATTTGAACCGGAGATTATAATGTCAGGTCAGACAATTCCGCTTCGATAAGTTTGTTGGGGGTTGAAATGAACACCAATATGTTCTGGCACAATCATGTCGATGAAATTGCAACTGTTTCTCAAAAGTTTAGAACACTGTTCCGAACCAGAAAACTGTACAAACCTCAGCAAATTTTGACGCTTTTTGAAGGTCAGATCAGACTTTTTTTGGAGTGTTGTTCTCATGTATGGATCTCCACTCCCAAACATATTCTGAAGCTGCTGGATTCTATCCAGAAAAGAGCTTCACCTCAAGCTTCACTGTTTCGTAGGTTTTTTCATTTCATTTTGATATGAGGAAATTTTCTCCCTAGATATTTTTGTGAAACCCGTAAAATTAAAAAAAGTATATCGTTTAGCAAAATACGCCTTTTGATGAAACTAGTATGCTTACGATTTGCAAAGTGGTTGAGACGTAGAAATAGGGAAGTTATATTTGTGAAATAATAGTATTGGCGGACGAATTAAAATTTACCAACAATAGTTGATTCAACAGAAACATCCATTGCAGGTTGAATAATGCAAATGAATATTCACATAGAGAAACCAATTTCCAAGGAAGGTTCGAAATAAATGTTTGGTTGGGAAATTTGGTAGCAAACATACCAGATCCTTTTTTTACGGTGAGTATTTGAGTGGTGAAATGTATCTACATTTTTTAATGTAGATAATGTTAATTTTTTAATGGCTACTTTGAATGAATTTACACTGATCATCCGCCGTGAAATACATTTTCAACGAGACGGTGCCCCTCCACATAATATAGCAATAGTAAGAAAACGTTCAGATTCAATAATCCCAACAAAATAGTTCGAAAACATCGGACCATTTGCCTGGCCAGCTCGATTTCCAAACCTTGCTTCCTTAGATTTTTTTTAGGGATATATGGAAATGAAGTTTAATCAACAAAAAAATAAGGTATGCATCTGCAGACAGACGACTTCTGTGCATTCAACAAAGAGATCGCTGATGTAGTTTGTCATAAAGAATTCATCTTCTGAACTGATTTTAGTTTCCCCCAAAAATTCATCAATAAATAAATTGTTCCTTTGTTTGATTATTGTCACTGATGAAGCTACTTTTTTCGAATGGTACGCTTTGGAGATATCAAGTGTAATATACCACTGATTTTATCGCTTTCTCAATATTTGCAATGAAAGAGATAGGTCTGTATTTGAAAAAAAAAGTTGATGGTGACCGTGCTGACACGAAACGTTCAATCAAAGATTTGTTGTTACATCCTTATAGTAT